TCAACCCCTAATCAACCGAGACCATTGTTACTAGAATTGCTGAAGTCCAAAGTGTCCATGTCATAGAACTTTCATAATATCTGAATTGTACATGTCCTTACCTTGAAAGCAGATTGAACCATCTTTTTCCCAATGGTTTTATGGTCAAAGTTAAATATTCATTCATTTTATGAGAACTAAGAGACCAGTTTAAGATTCTATCAATGTCTCTCTTTCAATCTTAAATTATTGGAGTGATACATGTCTTCACATGTTTCTTCTCACTTAATGTTGGACATTATTTGAAGTTACTGGATTTTTTTAATCCAGTTATCAAGCATCCTCTATAATTGAAGCATTGTGACTGTAGACAGCAAAATCGAAATTTTTAATGAAAGAAAGAAAAATCTTGGACCATATTTAGCCAAGCTCGTAACTATAATTCTCAGATTATAATTCTTGGACTATAATGCTTGAACTTGAAGCATATAAGTTTTGACCTAATGACAAATAAGTTTTCCTTCATAAAATTTTTTGATTCATGGGCTTTAACACACAATATTTTTAATCAATTTTCGTTCTTCAACCTAATAGAAAATTATTACTATACTTCAAAATTTGTAATTTTCGTGGGCTATATATAGTCCATGATTTTTCTCCATTTTGTTCATTTCAGATTTTTTACAATTGATGGTGCTAATTTCAATATTCATGATTTTCATGGGCTATGAACCATGATTTTATTTTATTTTCGTTAGTTTCGATCTCAACCTTAACCTTAACCAGAACAGTAAATGATGCGAAACGGGACAGGGAGTCTATCAGAATCAGCGATTTAATTCAAATAATGCATTGTTTCACCAAAATTCATGATCTTCGGTAGGAAATTAAATTTAAAGCAATTAATGTGACAGATGGGTTTAACAAGATTTGCATTGATAATTATGAATGATTCCAACCTCGATCAATTTAATTGTAATATTCATTATTATTGTACAAGTTCTACAATCAGTATCAAATTTTGACAGTCACATACTCAGTTACTCTCAACTTACAAATATAATCTAAGCAGTGAATATATGATAAGAGTTTAGAAATGTAATACTCGTGCAATTAACTAATAAAATGGGATTAACAAAAAGATAACGAAACCTTTGTCGGCCTGAACAGGCTCGACGTGAGGGGCCTCTGGAGGTAGTGCGACGATGTCGAACTGGAAGTCGATGACATGTGTGAAACGTCGAACTGGATGGCGACGAACTGAGCAATGATGACGAATTGGGTGACGATGTCGGCAAACTGAGTGTCGACGAAGGTGACAGGGTCAACTGGACGTCGTCAAGGGCAACGAGACGAGGATGATGATTCGCAAGTAGGCGGTTGTTGAGGAGGAGTGGATCAGGTAATGGGCTGAAGGTCTGCTATTGCTAAAGAGGTGAAGGAGGACAGTTGGGGTGTTGGGACTGACCGAAGGTGGAGGGAAAGAGAGGAGGAGGTGCGGATTGTGGAGGTGGGGTTGAAGGCTGTTCGGGAGAGGAGGCGGAGAATAAGAAGTAGAGGCGGGTGTGAGTTTGTTGTCGGTAAGTGGGGGGAAAGAAAGAGGAGGGCGGCACTGGTGGCGGAGGAGAAGAGAACCGAGGAGGGAGTTAGGAGTCGGCAATTGTGGGAAAGTGGAGTGGCTGGAGGGCGGTGCGACTTATGAAAGAGAGGTGGCTGATCGGGGAAGGAAGAGAAGAGAACAGGGAACAACTTAGGGTTTCACACCCAAGGTTTTACACCAAATTCAATTAGCCACAAATATCTTCATTTCATCCTTTATTCCTGATTACAATAGTGCTTAAATAGAGAAGAAGAATACAGATTTGAAAAATCTCACAAAATCAAATCTCTCATAATCAATAACTACCAAATCTCACCTACAATTCAAATTTCAAATTAACTAATAAAAACTGAAAATAAAAGAAAACAAATATGGAACTATCATTATTGTCCTCATAATTCTCCCCGGATGGGAGAAAACTCGACTCCGTCGAGTTAGTTGCAGAAACTTATCATCTTCAATATATTCTGACTGTATCTTAATCTGCCGTCAGTTACTTTCCTGCATCTCAAATCATTAGCTAGATTGTATTGTAAATTTACTATCTAAAATATTATCAAAATTCACTGTTGCATGGGTGAATATATAGAAGTGAGGTAAAGTGAAAGAACTCTCAGTAACAATAGGCTAGAGTCAGGCTTATATCAGTGGATTGCTAATAACATTGTGAGCTTCTTAATCAATCAATATTGAGAGTAGAACTATGACCAAATCGATAATATAAATGTTACCATTAATTATTTCAAGAGTTGGAAAGTTCACAAGTATCATGTTAAATCTCAAACAACTATAAAAGAAAATGTATTGGACAAGTCCAAATCATCTAAAGTATCAGCATTAAAGTATCAGCATTAACAGTTTTAAATTATGTCCTGACTTCATATCATACATTTCAGTTAACAATGTATTTATTCAAATTAGTTCAGTGATTCCCCAATATATGATCAATGCAAATCAAAGCAAAATGATGCAAATCAACTCAAATGACTATGTATGAAATGCAGACTCGAACAATGCGATCAATGGCAGATGTAAACTTAATGAAGTGCCTAACATGCATGACGTCTTCTATCGAATGGAATAATTAGGCATTCCTTCGTTAATATGCATAACAAATTTCTTGTTCTAACAGTGATAGTGAGTAACATGCAAACAAATATATGAAAGAGGAGTGTTTTTGTGCGCTTAACATAAGAGAGAAAGAAAATACTCTACAAGGTATGCGGTTCATTTAAAATATCAAGCATAGGTCGAATATCAATGAAAATACTCGTGCTCAAACTTACATCCTTAATCACTATATATTTTCAAAATGGATCAGTGTATGTGTGAGTGACTGTCAGGATAATGCATGGTGGTTTGATATCTAATATGGGAGTTATTTTCCTATGCTCAGTTTGGGATTCAACTTCCATACAGATATCTGAGTGAACGTGTTCGGTGTCACGTATAGATTCATGTTTGTCCGGGAGGACTTCGTGGGAAACATCAACAACGTTTTCAATCATTAGAGTGAGCTCAGGTGGAGTTGGAGTTTTAGTTTCAGGAACGACTTCAGAGACAACATCAGTGAACTACGTGATCAAATGGGTAGTTTAGGGAATAATCGGAGTGTCGTTATTGCATGAAGCTATAACCCACGATTTTGTCAATTTTATTTCATTTCAACCCAATGTTAAATAACTTTTTTTTAAACGTTATCTTCATGGGATATAATCTACGTCTTTTGTAAATTTTCATTCTTCCACTTAATGAAAAACTAATGTGCGTATTTCAAAATTTGTGAATTTTAATGAACTATAGTCCATGATCTTAGTCCATTTTGTTTGTTTCAACCTAATGGCCAAAAACTTTTCTTAAAAAAAAAATCTTGATTGGGGTTTAATATATGATTTTTGTTAATTTTCATTTGTTTTTACCAAATGAATAAAAAAGTTTTCTTTCATAAAAATTGTGGTTTTTATGGGCTTTAACCCATGATTTTTCATCAATTTTTATTCTTTGACATAATGGAAAATTAACATGTGTACTTCAAAATTTGTGATTTTCCTGGATTATAGCCCATGATTTTGTCCATTTTGTTTGTTTCAACCATTTCGCACTTTATTGTGTAAATTTTAATATTCGTGATTTTTATGGGCCAAGTTAGTCTACTCTCGTTAATTTCAACTCTAATGGGTTAGATTTTCTTTCATCAAAAAATCACGATTTTCATGAGCTATAACTCATAATTTTTATCAAATTTTAGTCGTTTCAACCAAACGAAAAATAATTTTTCTTCTCTCAAAAATTACGATTTTCATGAGTTATTACTCATATTTTTTTCAATTTTTATTGTTCAACCTAATGGATAAACAATATGTGTACTTTTATATTTGTCATTTTCATGGGCTATAGTCCATGATTTCCCCTTTTTTTTCTTTTTAATCATTTTGTATTAATCATCTGAGTTTCAATATTCACAATTTTCATGTGCACCCATGATTTTAGACAATTTTTAATTCATTTTGACCTAATGGCAAATACGTTCTTTTTTAAAATTTGTGATTTTTATGGGCATTAATTCACGATTTTTTGTGAATTTTCATTTTTTGACCTAATGGACAATTAATATGCATACTTCAAATTTTGTTAACTTTATGGACTATAGCCTATGATTTTTATCCATTTTGTTCATTTCG